CACAATGGAGTTTTCCGTAACTTTACAAGTCCATCTTTGAGTCTGGTATGGATTTGGGGTGGAACCTCAGCCAGCAATTTTTAAAAATGGCATGAAGTCCCCCCCCCCTCCCCCCTCCTCCAATCCATATCAGGCCTTTTGCATCTTGTAAGGATTGGGGGAGACCTCACACCAAAAGTAAAAAAAAAATGGCTTGAGGCCCCCCCTGACCAACACTGCCCCCCACAATGGAGTTTCCCGTAACTTTACAAGTCCATCTTTGAGTCTGGTATGGATTTGTGGTGGAACCTCAGCCAGCAATTTTTAAAAATGGCATGAAGTCCCCCCCCCCCCCAATCCATATCAAGCCCTTTGCGTCTTGTACAGATTGGGGGAGACCTCACACCAAAAGTAAAAAAAAATAAAATGGCACGAGACCCCCAAAATCTGTAAGGAAGAAAACAGACAAGTGTGCACCTCTCTTCCCAAACCATACTACTCCACATGTCCCCAACAGTGAGGTACTTTGATTCCCCCACCCTGCCAAACCACCTTGTCCCCATATTTATGAGGCCAAGGGCCTCTTCTTCACAACCCTGGCCTGGTGGTTGTGGGAATGCAGGGGATTACTTAGCATGGTGGATCCCAGATCCTGCCCCCCCCCAGGTGAATGAGTAACCCTATTCATTTCACAAAAAAAGACAAGTGTCGATAAACACGTGATTGATAATGGATTGACGGGATTGACAACGGATCTACATCAGGGGACTTTACACTAGACATTGTTTTGGGTACTATGTATTCCATACTCATTCGCTTGAGGGGGCTGGGATCTAGGGGCCACCCTTGTTAAAGGGGGGCTTTCAAATTCCAATAAGTCACCTCCTGCACCCCCACCAACACCGGGCCAGTGTTGAGGCCCTTGTCCTCATAAATAGGGAGAGGTGGAAACAAAGTACCCACCACGTTGAGGGCACGTGGCCTGGTATAGTTTTGAGATGGGGGTTGCACACGCGTTCTCTAATTTCCTTTTAGGTTTTGGGGGGACCTCATGTCTATTTTTTTTACTTCCCAAATATATAAGGGGGCAACAGGACAGTGCACAGGATGTTAGCTGGGCAGTGTACAGGGGCAGCAGAGCACTTTACAGGGGTTCAGTAGGCCAGAGTACAGGGGTTCTGCAGGGAAAAGCTTGGGAGGTCAGCAGGGCAGTAAGGGGGCACAATTGAAATCTGGGGGGCACAGCCCACCCCTAGATCCGACCATACTTCCTTTGATGGAATTCTCTTTATTCCATGCATATTTCAATTTCATATTTCATATCCCATAATCTTCACCTGCCATTCATCCTATTCCCATCATCAATCTCCATCCCTGGTTTCTCATCAGAGATTCGATTGGAATATTGCCGAATATACAGTATCAGGGCTCTGCTGTGTTCTGACACCGAGATGCAATGGAGTGGATTTACTAAAGCTGGAAAACCAACATACCTAACGAACAAGGTGCAGGAGGCTAAGAGGATACATTAGACCTTCTGGGACAAATATACATCTGATTTATATCATGTTTGGTATCTAGCAAATCATAAAGATCTTCACCTCTGTGGAGAGCGACCATAGTGTAAACTCTGTTACATTCCTGTCTAGATGTGACAGCGAGTGATATAGACATTTTCTTTAAAGGTCAAAATTACAACAGCTGATGGTGTGGACAGTATGGGGGAAGATTTACTAAAACTGGAGCTCTCAGGATCTGATGCAGCTGTGCATGGCAGCCAATCAGCTTCTAGCTTCAGCTTGTTCAATGAAGCTTAGAAAATAAAACCTGGAAGCTGTTTGGGTTCTGTGCAGACCGCACCAGATTTTGCACTATCCAGTTTTAGCAAATTAACCACAATATCTGAAAAATATGGCAAGACGTAGGAAGTGCTCAAAGCGGTTATCTCTTCATATTGATGCTAAATACATAAAAAGGGAAGTGCACAATTCTCTACACAACCATTGGATGGATGTTTGACAATAATTCTGACCTCTGTATTCCCCTTTCGTCTTGCACAGGTGTACCAGCTCCTTCCCTTCCGTCTTGCACAGGTGCACTGGCTCTTCCTCTTCAGTCTTGCACAGGTGTACTGGCTCCTCCCCTTCAGTCTTGCACAGGTGTACTGGCTCCTCCCCTTCAGTCTTGCACAGGTGTACCGGTTCCTCCCCTTCAGTCTTACACAGGTGTACCAGCTCCTCCCCTTCAGTCTTGCACAGATGTACCGGCTCCTCCCCTTCAGTCTTGCACAGGTGTACCGGCTCCTCCCCTTCAGTCTTGCACAAGTGTTCTGGCTCCTCCCCTTCAGTCTTGCACAGGTGTACTGGCTCTTCCTCTTCAGTCTTGCACAGGTGTACTGGCTCCTCCCCTTCAGTCTTGCACAGGTGTACCGGCTCCTCCCCTTCAGTCTTGCACAGGTGTACCGGCTCCTCCCCTTCAGTCTTGCACAGGTGTACCGGCTCCTCCCCTTCAGTCTTGCACAAGTGTTCCGGCTCCTCCCCTTCAGTCTTGCACAGGTGTACCGGCTCCTCCCCTTCAGTCTTGCACAGGTGTAAAGGCTCCTCCCCTTCAGTCTTGCACAGGTGTACCGGCTCCTCCACTTTGTCTTGCACAGGTGTACCGGCTCCTCCCCTTCAGTCTTGCACAGGTGTACCGGCTCCTCCTCTTCAGTCTTGCACAGGTGTTCCGGCTCCTCCTCCCCTTTCTGTCTTGCACAGGTGTACCGGCTCCTCCCCTTCAGTCTTGCACAGGTGTACTGGCTCCTCCCCTTCAATCTTGCACAGGTGTACCGGCTCCTCCCCTTCAGTCTTGCACAGGTGTACCGGCTCCTCCCCTTCAGTCTTGCACAGGTGTACTGGCTCCTCCCCTTTGTCTTGTACAGGTGTACCAGCTCCTCCCCTTCAGTCTTGCACAGGTGTACCGGCTCCTCCCCTTTAGTCTTGCACAGGTGTACAGGCTCCTCCCCTTTAGTCTTGCACAGGTGTACAGGCTCCTCCCCTTTAGTCTTGCACAGGTGTATTGGCTCTGATTTATCATGCTGGCAGATCGTTTTGGATTCATGGGCCGCGATTCAAAACGCCCGGGTGGGAATGAAACCTGAGGCTTTTTCTTTTTGCAAACGCATTTAGGAGCGCCAGGCACTTGGGAGTTCATTTCATTGGACAAGATATCGTTGTATTCAGGCCATTGAATTGCAAAAAAGCGCTCAAGCGCTTTACAAGCCTAGTGTTTAAGCGCATGTAAGCGCGTCAGGCGTTTTTTATGCTCAAAAAGCTCCTCTCCTGAATGCAACTTTGCCGTTTTTTTTTTTTTTACTTCCTCCTGTAAATGCCTACAGTGTGCATGATAACATGGAGGGGGGGGGCTCAGTCGCCTGTAAAATCTGCGTTTTTGAGCGCAAGTGTGCATGAGCTCCTTATAGCAATACATTGGTTCTCAGATCGGAGATTTCACCACCAAATACGAGAAAGAAAAACGCTTTCGGTATATGGAGCTCCAATCGCTAAAATCTGAAATGAGCTTTAACATATTCTCCAGAATGATCCCCGGGATCCATTAACATTTGTGTGTGACGCACGTGCGATAATGCGCGTTACGCCATGTGATAATGCGTGTTACGCCATGTGATAATGAGCGTTCGATTAACGACGACCATTATAATCAATGAGCTTCCGATGCATCAAATATCAGGTTTTTTGGCCGCAATACACGGCGCTCAGGAACGGAGTCTTCTCTCACATTGAGGAATAAAACGCTACAATTAGATTCCGGGAACCCGAAACGTTTTCTTTCTATTATTAATATTACAGATGTAGAGGAGTCTGTCCAATCGCTGACATCGATGAAATCTGACATCTTCTACTCGATGACACTCAGCTAATGACACCGAACGTCACCTCATTATAATGTCAGAGCCGCGGCAGACTGCGAAATCCAAATCCCCTGTTTACTAAACACCGAGATGAGTGCCGCAGATGACAAGATTGTGCTAATTATCACCCCGAGGAGAGACAGGGAATTCGGTGACTATGGAGGAGATCTGGAAAGAGATACATTGTATCCCCAGGAGGATCCCCTGCTGAAAATTCCCTATACCTGGCTCTCCATACAACACGGGTGGTCAACCAACTTCATATAGAAGGCTGCATGTCATCATCAAAGGGACTGCAGACATGCTACAGGAGATGGTCAGAGACTACAGACATAGTACAGGAGACGGTCAGAGACTGCAGACATAGTACAGGAGACGGTCAGAGACTGCAGACATAGTACAGGAGACGGTCAGAGACTGCAGACATAGTACAGGAGATGACCGGAGACTGCAGACACAGTACAGGAGATGACCAGAGACTGCAGACATAGTACAGGAGATGACCGGAGACTGCAGACACATTACAGGAGATGACCAGAGACTGCGGACATAGTACAGGAGATGACCAGAGACTGCGGACACAGTACAGGAGATGACCAGAGACTGCGGACACAGTACAGGAGATGACCAGAGACTGCAGACACATTACAGGAGACGGTCAGAGACTGCAGACATGGTACAGGAGACAACCAGAGACTGCGGACATAGTACAGGAGACGGTCAGAGACTGCAGGCATAGTACAGGAGACGGTCAGAGACCGCAGACATAGTACAGGAGACGGTCAGAGACTGCAGACATGGTACAGGAGACGGTCAGAGACTGCAGACATAGAACAGGAGACGGTCAGAGACTGCAGACATGGTACAGGAGACGGTCAGAGACTGCAGACATAGTACAGGAGACGGTCAGAGACTGCAGACATGGTACAGGAGACGGTCAGAGACTGCAGACACAGTACAGGAGACGGTCCGAGACTGCAGACATAGAACAGGAGACAGTCAGAGACTGCAGACATGGTACAGGAGACGGTCAGAGACTGCAGACACAGTACAGGAGACGGTCAGAGACTGCAGACATAGAACAGGAGATGACCAGAGACTGCAGACATAGTACAGGAGACGGTCAGAGACTGCAGACATAGTACAGGAGATGACCAGAGACTGCAGACATAGTACAGGAGATGATCAGAGACTGCGGACACAGTACAGGAGATGACCAGAGACTGCGGACATAGTACAGGAGATGACCAGAGACTGCAGACACAGTACAGGAGATGACCAGAGACTGCGGACATAGTACAGGAGATGACCAGAGACTGCAGACACAGTACAGGAGACGGTCAGAGACTGCGGACATAGTACAGGAGACAACCAGAGACTGCGGACACAGTACAGGAGATGAGCAGAGACTGCAGACATAGTACAGGAGACGGTCAGAGACTGCAGACATAGTACAGGAGACGGTCAGAGACTGCAGGCATAGTACAGGAGACGGTCAGAGACTGCAGACATAGTACAGGAGACGGTCAGAGACTGCAGACATGGTACAGGAGACGGTCAGAGACTGCAGACATAGAACAGGAGACGGTCAGAGACTGCAGACATGGTACAGGAGACGGTCAGAGACTGCAGACATAGTACAGGAGACGGTCAGAGACTGCAGACATGGTACAGGAGACGGTCAGAGACTGCAGACATGGTACAGGAGACGGTCAGAGACTGCAGACACGGTACAGGAGACGGTCCGAGACTGCAGACATAGAACAGGAGACAGTCAGAGACTGCAGACATGGTACAGGAGACGGTCAGAGACTGCAGACACAGTACGGAGACGGTCAGAGACTGCAGACATAGAACAGGAGATGACCAGAGACTGCAGACATAGTACAGGAGATGATCAGAGACTGCGGACACAGTACAGGAGATGACCAGAGACTGCGGACATAGTACAGGAGATGACCAGAGACTGCAGACACAGTACAGGAGATGACCAGAGACTGCAGACACAGTACAGGAGACGGTCAGAGACTGCGGACATAGTACAGGAGACAACCAGAGACTGCGGACACAGTACAGGAGATGACCAGAGACTGCAGACACGGTACAGGAGACAACCAGAGACTGCGGACATAGTACAGGAGACGGTCAGAGACTGCAGACATAGTACAGGAGACGGTCAGAGACTGCAGGCATAGTACAGGAGACGGTCAGAGACTGCAGACATAGTACAGGAGACGGTCAGAGACTGCAGACATGGTACATGAGACAGTCAGAAACTAAAGATATTGTACAGGAGATGGTCAGAGACTGCAGACATTCCACAGGAGATGGTCAGAGACTACAGATATTGTACAGGAGACGGTCAGAGACTGCAGATATAGTACAGGAGACGGTCAGAGACTGCAGACATTCCACAGGAGATGGTCAGAGACTACAGATATTGTACAGGAGACGGTCAGAGTCTGCAGATATAGTACAGGAGACGGTCAGAGACTGCAGACATAGTACAGGAGATGACCAGAGACTGCAGACATGGTACAGGAGACGGTCAGAGACTGCAGACACGGTACAGGAGACGGTCAGAGACTGCAGACATAGTACAGGAGACAGTCAGAGACTGCAGACATAGTACAGGAGCTGGTCAGAGACTGCGGACATAGTACAGGAGACGGTCAGAGACTGCAGACACGGTACAGGAGATGGTCAGAGACTGCAGACATAGTACAGGAGATGACCAGAGACTGCAGACATAGTACAGGAGATGACCAGAGACTGCAGACAGTACAGGAGATGACCAGAGACTGCAGACATAGTACAGGAGATGACCAGAGACTGCAGACATGGTACAGGAGATGGGCAGAGACTGCAGACACGGTACAGGAGATGGGCAGAGACTGCAGACATGGTACAGGAGATGGGCAGAGACTGCAGACATAGTACAGGAGCTGGTGGCCCCTCCACTCTCCTACAACAGATATTGATGATTTTTCAATTTGTTTCTTTGTATTTATAAATCGAGTTTCTCATCTCTGATGTCTCTAATAACACTTCTAGTGACACAAAGTATCTTTCTGTAACCTGTAAGAATCCACCTGAAATGTTTTGACCAATTAAGTTGTGACCCCCCTCCCCCCCCTCTATAGACGCCCCCGGGCCGCTCTCCGCATGGCTAAGTACGTTTATATATAAATACATTATGTGAAGCGCTGTGATTGGCCGACACATTCCTCAGGTTCACATCAAGGGGACCTCCAGACAATACGGATGTGTGAAGTGGAAGGATTCTAGAAGAAGTTTCTGTGTTCCGGGTCCCCCGATGTGTTCGGGTCCCCCCGATGTGTTCCGGGTCCCCCCGATGAGAATGGAATACGTTCTGCCAGTTCTTCCAATGTGACGGATCAAAGGCAGCAAAAAGCGTATTAAGGTGCGCGGAGGCCTCATCCAATCCGGCGGGAGCCTGAGCCTTTCTACCTGGAGACAGCGGCTCTCTCCCTAAGTCCTGCAGCTCATGGCTTGTGAATGGAAAACAATTATGTGGGTATTGTTTGTCTTCATGAATAATCCCGGCTCTTCTCCTTGTCTCAGACCTGACTCCGCATAAGAAGAGGGGATTGACGGCTGATTGGCAGGTGACTAGTAGGTGCCCCTCTGCCGGGAAGGTGGGTGTCACGGGGGACAGACAGATCCCTGAACTTGAAGAACTTCTTCTTCTATCAAACACATCAAAATACTTATCGACATTTACAACCTGATCCCGAATAGCAGATGAACCGGGCCTAGACCCTACACCAGGGGTCTCCGAACTACGGCCCTCCAGGTGCTGAGGAACTGCAAGACTCTGAGAGCCACAGGCAAGACTCCCAGAGGCATGATGGGACTTGTAGTACTTCAACAGCTGGAGGGCCATCGTTTGGAGACCCCTGCCCTGGAGCACTGGTGTCCAAACTGCGGCCATGGGGCCAAATGCAGCCCTTTGCTTGCTTTTATCCAGCCCCTGGAGCATTATTTCATCCACTGATACCAACAACGGGACAAAATCCCCCCCCGCTAAAAACCAATGAAGGGGCACAATTTCTCCCACTGATACCAACTATGGGGCCCAATGACACCAACGATGGGGCCCAATGACATCAACGATGGGGCACAATTCCTCCCAATGACACAAACAATGGGGCACTATTCCTTCCAATGATACCAATGATGGGGCGCAATTCCTCCCAATGACACCAACTATAGGGCCCAATGATGCCAGTAATGGGACCAAATTCCTCCCAATGACACAAACAATAGGGCACTATTCCTCCCAATGACACCAACTATGGGGGCCCAATGACACCAACGATGGGGCACAATTCCTCCCAATGATACAAACAATGGGGCACTATCCCTTCCAATGACACCAATGATGCAATGATGGGGCACAATTTCTCCCAATGACATCAACTATGGGGCCCAATGACACCAACGATGGGTCACAATTCCTCCCAATGACACACACAATGGGGCACTGTTCCTTCCAATGGCACCAATGATGGGGCACAATTCCTCCCAATGGCACAAACAATGGGGCACTGTTCCTTCCAATGACACAAATGATGGGGCACAATTCTTCCCAATGACACCAACTATGGGGCCCAATGACACCAACGCTGGGGCACAATGACAACAACGATGGGGCACAATTCCTCCCAATGACACAAACAAAGGGGCACTATTCCTTCCACTGACATCAAAGATGGGGCATTTTTTTCCCACTGGCGTCTACTCCCAGGGGCCCCAGTCAGGCCCCACCAATGACAGAAGGGCAGTAAACTGTCCCTTTGTTTTTAGAAAGTCTGGAGACTCCTGTCTCCAGTGAGTGACATTTAGTTTGCTCGGTGATCTGTGCATTATAAACCGTTGCCTTTTTTTTCAGATTAAATCCAGTTTTTACCTTTTTTTTCATCCATTGTTCTGCAGCCTCGTTGCAGCCACTTTCGGTCTCCATGCACTCCAGCTATGGTGGCATGGCATTTCTCAGGACGGGTTGCCTGGGGGTGACAACACTGGGCCATGCCTGTGTAATGTGAGTTGAAATGACCACCAGTAGTTTCCATGTGTGACAGGGGTGACAACACAGGAGAGCAATTTGAGGCAGGGACAGAGTGTTGTCACCCTATAACAGGAAGTGCCTGAACAAGGACCTCCATGGCGGGATCACCAGGGATTATTATAAAAAAAATATTGCAAATGACTTGAAATGACATTGACATGTTAAAGCTCATATGAGCTTTTAGGGATGGGTTACGTATCAGAATGTAAACGGAGCCGTGCCGAGAGTGCTCCCTACGTGCTCCCGGCAGAGTTCCTGGCGGGTAACGGAAAGCTCTCGATCTCTACTTGCGACCATGTGACCGCTGTGACAGCCAATGACAGCGATCACACGATCAGAAAGCCTTTCCACCTCCAAACATTAGAAACCTCTTAAAGGCAAAAAAAAAAAAATCAAAAGTATACAAATGACATTTTAAAAAGATGTATTGGGCGTTATTTACTAAAACTGGAGGGTGCAAAATCTGGTGCAGCTGTGCAGAGAAACCAATCAGCTTCCAGGTTTTACTGCCAAAGCTTCACTGAACAAGCTGAAGCTAGAAGCTGATTGGCCACCATGTAGAGCTGCCCCATATTCTGCACTCTCACGTTTTAGTAAATAACCCTCATTGTGTATGAAATGAATACACAAGATGCAAACATTCTTGAAACCAAGGATGAGCAAGATTGAAGTCTGGTTATCTACAATGTATATTGGAAACAATGTGCTGAAGGAGACCCGAGCCATGCAGGAGAAGGTTCAGGCTACTCAGCAGAAATAGTTGGCATATTGGCAATATTACAGTGAAGGAGACCCAGGCCACTCAGTAGAACTTGGAGAACTCAGAAAAAGGCCCAGAACACTCAGAAGAAGACCTGGGAAACTTAGTAGAAGACCTATGGCACTCTGTAGAAGATCCAGGCCGCTCAGTAGAAGACCTGGGAAATGCAGTAGAAATACATAAAACTGTTGGCAACACTGCAGTGAAGGAAACTCAGGCCACTCACTAGAAGACTTGAGGAACTCGGAAGAAGACCCAAGGAACTCAGAAGACTTGGGGAACTCAGAAGACTTGGGGAACTCAGAAGAAGACCTGGGAAACTCAGGTAGAAAACCAAGGCCACTCAGTAGAAGAAGAGAGAAACTCAATAGAAGATGGAACTCAGAAGAAGATCATTAGCACTCAGTAGAAGACACGGGCCACTCGATAGAAGACCTGGAAAACTGAATAGAAGACCTGGGAAACTTAATAGCAGCAGACTTAGGAAATTCAGTAAAAGACTTATGGCACTCTGTAGAAGACTGAGGACACTTAGTAGAAGACCTTGGAAACTCAATAGAAATACATGGCATATTGGCAGCGCTGCAGTGAAGGAGACCCAGGTCATTCAGTAGAGGACTTGGGGAACCCAGTAGAAGACCCCGGAAACTCAGAAGATCTGGGAAACTCAGTAAAGGACCTAGGGCACTATGTAGAAAGCAATGGCCACTCAGTAGAAGAAGAGGGAAACTCAGTAGAAGACCAATGGAACTCAGGAGAAGAACCAGGGGATGTAGTAAAAGACCATTAGCACTCAGTAGAAGACCCAACACACTCAATAGAAGACCTGGGAAACTCAGTAGAAGACTTGGGCACTCAGTAGAGGACTTGGGGAACTCAGTAGAAGACCCAGGAAACTCAGAAGACCTGGGAAACTCAGTAGAGGACCTAGGGCACTATGTAGAAAGCCATGGCCACTCAGTAGAAGAAGAGGGAAACTCAGTAGAAGACCAATGGAACTCAGGAGAAGAACCAGGGGATGTAGTAAAAGACCATTAGCACTCAGTAGAAGACCCAACACACTCAATAGAAGACCTTGGAAACTCAGTAGAAGACTTGGGGCACTCAGTAGAGGACTTGGGGAACTCAGTAGAAGACCCAGGGAACTCAGAAGAAGGTGTATTGGGTACAATGCAATGAAGACGACCTAGGCCATGTAGTAGAAGATCTGGGGCACTCAGTAGAAGACTTGGGCCACTCAGTAGAAACAGTTGACCTATTGGAAATAT